GATCTCACGGATTAAAGCCCAAACCCTAAGCCCGAATCCCTAAACCCTAAACCCTAAACCCTAAACCCTAACCCTCCAACCCCTGCAGCCTAAACCCTAACCCTTCAACCCCTAAACCCGAAACCAAGGATATCATCAAGGTTGGCATCATGTGCCCTTCTGGCAGCTTGGCTGTGAAGTCTTAACGGACAGCCGTGCAACCGCGAGGAAGCATTCTATAGTATACGGGGTTTAGGCTTTAGTTAGGGTTTAGGGTTTAGGGTTTAGGGTTTAGGGTTTAGGGTTTAGGGGTGCTGAAGCCTCGATAGGTCCCTTATACATCCGCTAGAAAACCCCTACGGATCCCATGTGCAGAATGTCATTGCGAGTTGGATATTGGGGGTTTCGGGTCGGGGAATTAGAGTGTAGCACCTAGTGTTTGGGGTTTCGGGTTTTTGGGACCCAAGGCAGACTGCCATGCCAGTACTAACCCTAAACCCTATAAGCCCTAAACTGACACTGAGGATTCTCGTTAATTCCTCATGAACCTAAATCCTAAACCCTAAACCGTAAACGGACACTGAGGATTCTCCTTAATTCCTCATGATCCTAAACCCTAAACCCTAAACCGTAAACGGACACTGAGGATTCTCGTTAATTCCTCATGACCTAGATGGTCCGGATGCAATGCACTTCGAGACGACTTCGCTTGAAGGTCGGGCTGGAAGCTCTGTCTGACGCCGTCTTAGGCTTCCGGGGTTAGGGGTTTAGGCTTTTGGGTTTCGGGTGTCGGATTTACGTAAGACTTAGGGCTCAGGGTTTAGGGCTTAGGACATCGGGTTTAGGGTTTAGAGGGTCGAGGGTTTAGGATTTCGGGTTCAGGGTTCAGGGTTTCCCTAAACCCTAAACCCTAAACCCTTAACCTGCTATGATGCAACTGAGTGTGTTGCGGAGACGCAGAGCCAGAGCTTCTGGTGCGTTGGGGGCATGCCCAGTCTTATTCGTGACTACCCAAACCTTAAACTGCAGACTTTTTAAGCCCTAAACCCTAAACCCTCAAACCACAAACCCTGAACCCTAAACCCTAAACCCTCAACCCCTAAACCCACAAGCCCTAAACCCCCAAACCCTCAACCCCTAAACCCACAAACCCTAAACCCCTTAACCCTAAACCCCTGAACCCTAAACCCTAAACCCAACCCTGCGGAACTCTCCCAGAGCAGGCTGCGCCGAGAAGTGCGAAGAGGAGGTGAAGTGTTCGTCCTTCGAGTTCTCGCACTCGGAGAGGGCCTTGAAATGCCTCGGGTTCAGGCTTTAGGCTTTAGGGTTCAGGGTTTAGGGTTTAGGGTTCAAGGTTTGGGGTGTAGGGTTTAGGGTTTGGGTGTTTAGGGTGTTTACGCTGTTCAGGGGTTCAAGGGTCTGGAGTGTGAGTTTGTCGTTTTTTGTTTCAGGGTTTCTTTTATGGGCCTTGTGGGTTTAAGGGACGGGTTGTGGCGGAGTGTCGGCTTCTTTGGGCAGTTCAGGGTTCTAGAGGTTTAAGGTTTAAGGTTTAGGGTTTAGGGTTTACGGTTTAGGGTAAGGTTAAGGTCTTTCGAGGTTTAGGGGGCTTGCCGGCGAAGAGTTTGGTGCGGGGTTTGTTCAGGGCAGCCCTTATATCATCTGTGTTTTGGGGTTACTCAGTGGCGCAGTAGCCTTGAAGCTTTTTGATGGAGTCCTGCCGGAACTGAAGGTTTAGAGTTTAGGGTGCCGGACAAGTATCTTATTCTACGAGCATAACAGCCGGGGGGGCAGTGAACCTGGGCACGGAGTTTGTTGCAGTAATTGCCGAAATTAGTACTTCCATGCACATGTTGGGTGGGCATTGCTCCTGTGGTACCTGTGGCCACACACCCTGCACCCTGAAAGGAGACTGCTTGCAATACCTTCTCCCTCGGCCTGGAGAACCTTCGGACGTTCAGCTTCCGTCCCAACGAGTGGATCTCTTGCCCCTTGTTCGAAACCCTAAACCCTGAGCACTGAACCCCTAAACCCCTAAACCCCTAACCCCTAAACCCCTAAACCCCTAAACCCTAAACCCTAAGCCCTCAACCCCTAAGCCCTGAACCCCAAAACCCCTAAACCCCTAACCCCTAAACCCCTAAACCCTGCTTTGCGTTGAGAGCTTTCGGAGATGGTCTTGACATGGTATGAGAAGATTCCTTCAATATAGGGGCCTTAAGAGTTACCTATAGTATTTTGGGGGTTCCTTCGTATAATTATAGTACTGTATCCCCTAAACCCGAATTCTAACTGCCCAGTCCCCTACATTACCTCGGAACCAAACAGCAGAAGGAAGTAGAGAGGCTATGGACTACAGGGGCTGAGTATCTCGTCATCGTATGCCTGGAGGCTCCTTTAATCCAATGCTGACCATGTCTAGAAACCACTAAAACCCTAGTTTAGGGTTTAGGGTTTAGCTAGTCTAGTGATTATGCTCAAACCCTTATCGTGACCCTGGAAAGAACCGTTTTATGGAACTCTTGGAGAAACTTGAAACCCTCAACCCTCAACCC